AAACTTGAGAAGTTTGAAATATTGATTTTAGTCCACTTACAAAACAAACAGAGACGAGTGTTTATATCACTGAACTCTGATCAAAGAGTGTATATAGTGTGTTATATACAATACACGGGCGCACACACACACAAATATGGTTACATGCAGCAGGATTCGAGATCGCTGTAAAAATGCTTGTGTTCAAAAGACGTAATACAAAGTTTTTATAGATTTTTGTCATTCAAATATTGCGGGATTTGAGTCCGAGGTTGACTAGATTAATGAATTTGGGTTTTATTTTTGGTACAGCACAGGTTCACAGAGACCGAGGCGATCGCTGATGAAGAGCCGGAATAAAGATTATTCACACACTCGTCTTTAGACAGAATATCAGCAGGTTGAGATTGAGCTCTCGAATCTCTCATTCTCAGTTTATCTTCTGTTGTGGACACCGATGTGTATCAGTGTTCGACTCGGAACGCGAGGCAGAGAAATTCTTACAATAAAATGAAATCAAATCAGATTTGTAGTCCTGGAGGTCTGATGCGTTTAGTACGAGCTTTACGGTGCATCTGAACCTCCTCCGGCCCGTCCACAGAGTGTAGCCACTGCTCCTTTAACTCTGAACTCTGAACTCTGAACTCTGCTTCCAACGGTGTGTCCGTGAACCTTTAATGTCTTTGCCATCTATTTGTATCCCGTTGCTTGTTTGTGAAGCTTCTCTTAACTTATCAGACCCTTCTTCTGCCATATCTGTAACTTGCAGTCAAACGGGCCGCTGCAGAGATGTGAGATGTGTGTGTGTTGTAGCTCGAGCACACCTGCTGCAGCTCATGAAGCCCTTGATGAGTGAGACGACGCCGGGTCTGAGGGGTTATATCAGGCCGTCGGGTCATTCTGAGACTGGGGGAGTCATTGAAAGTTGCATTTTCAGTTGAATTTGGGGAAACCACCTGAAACATCTGTTGTGTGGAGCTACTTCAGTTACTTTTGTTTGATTCCTTCATTGCAAACAGCTGAAAAAAGAAAGTCTGTAAATTTGACCAGTAGACCTGATTTGCTGTGGGGCTTAAATCATTTCCATTACAACTCTACATAAAAAACGTATGAGCTCAACTGAGGCGATAAGAGCAGCGCATAAACTACAACGGAAACACATTTACTGAGTAAATCCCTCGATGTGAGTTTGCCTCAGCGTCAGCTGTGATTGGATAACCGGATAATTGGATAAATAACCAGCGGACCAATGGCGTCGCAGCGTCTCTAATGTTGGTTTGGTGTTTCTGAGGGTCGAAGTGTGTGTTCAGAATGATTGGGTGTAATTCCCTCCCGAAGCGTCTCACACACACGAGTGTGTTCCCGAACACCAGCACCCGAACGCCAGAGAACACGACAGCATTCACACACACTCGTTTACGGTGACGCTCGACACACACTCGTTTATGGTGACGCTCGACACACACTCGTTTACGGTGACGCCCGACACACACTCGTTTATGATGACGCTCGACACACACTCGTTTACGGTGACGCCCGACACACACTCGTTTATGATGGAGGGGAAAGCAGCCCGATTGCAGAAACTTGCAGTTTTACTCCTGATATTTTGGAGCCGGAAGTGAAGATTTTGTCGTCTTGAACACTTCAGATGGAGACGCTGCTTTATTCACATGTTTTATGCAATATTCCAGTTTTGCTCATACAGTAAGTTAAATTGTCGACAGTGTTGTCAGATGTTTGATGCAGTATTTCACCTCGATTCATCTCTCGGCTGTCGACTCTACTAAACCGCACTGTGTGTGTGTGTGTGTGTGTTCAGGCTAATGGTGGCCACTGTGTGAGGATTAGGGTGAGAGGAATCTCAGATGTGTATCTGATGAGGTGTCTCTCTCTCTCTCTCTCTCTCTCTCTCTCTGCTGCGGTTCCTCCGGCCCTTTGAAGTAGAAAGTGTAGTTGGAGTGAACGCCTGACTGCCGGCCCCGCTCCTCTCGCGCTTGTCTCGCAGTAATTGCCTTATTTCATCAAAGCAGGTGAAGGGCCTCCGAATAACTCTCTCTCTCTCTCTGCCGTCTGTCGAGTGTGTGTGAGTGTGTGTGGCAGAGCGCTCAGAAACAGGTGCGAACGTTTTAACCGTTGCACACCCAGATGTCAGCGCTAAACTAAGGAGACTCGTCCCAGAGGTGTTTAATGAACTTTCCTCTCTGAAGGACTCAGACAGTGTGACGCGCTCCTCTCTGAACCTTCACGCTTCGCTCTCGCTCGCTTTCAGCAGCACACACACACATCTCTACAGTACAGGGACACACACACATCTCTACAGTACAGAGACACACACACATCTCTACAGTACAGGGACACACACACGTCTCTACAGTACAGAGACACACACACGTCTCTACAGTACAGAGACACACACACATCTCTACAGTACAGGGACACACTCTTCTCTACAGTACACACACACACACACACACACACACACACACACACACAGATCAGCATTCTGACATCATTTACAGGCTAAATACAAGTCGCTTTAGAAGTTATCTTGAGGATAGACAGCAGTTTGTACAAATAAATCATATTAAATCTGTTCTAATGAAAGTTACTTGTGATGTTCCTCAAGGTTCAGTGTTAGGCCCCAAAGTGATTGTATTGTATTTAGATGATATTTGTAAAGTGTCTAAAATATTAAAAAGGGTTTTGTTTGTTGATGACACAAATTTATATTCTTCAGGAAAAATAAATGGACCAGCTTCTCGTGTCATTGAATCAAGGAATCGTTCTGTTGAAGTGGATCTTTTCAATGAATCGTTTAATCCAGTTATTGTTCATAAATCAGGGACTCAATCTAGTTAAATTATCACTCAAAAATAAAATACAAACGTTAGATGAAAAACTTAAAGGTTCTATATGTAACTTTTTTTTATAAAACGAATCCTTTTTTTATTGCCTGTGTTTGAAGGGGTTGTAATCACACATTGCAATGATCCACTTTTCGGGTTTTGCTATTACAGTACTTCTGAAGGCCAATATTCATATTTATAAGTGAGGTCTCCGGGTCGGATTCCTTGTGAAATCCATCGGATGTGACGTGCATGCGCGCTCCCGAGCCTCTCTATCCTACAGTCAACCATGCGACCAACGCCACTTCAGCTGACGACATGGAGTCTGATAACAGCCCAAAACGTCCTGCCTCCAGCACGACACACACTCCAACACACACTCCACATAAATATAAAAAACAAAAAAGTTTTATCTGCTCAAGCTCGTCAGGCATCTGATCGACTCCGGACGAAAACGCGGATCAACATAGTAAACTCTAGTGAAATAGCAAGGTAAACTACATGAAACATGACATGAAGACAAAAGAATGTTCCAGGATAACAAAAAGTTGGTGCTTTAGGATGTAATTTACTTTATTTACTAGATCTACTGACTAACGTCACTCATCCCACTATCATATTGTTTATAATACACATTTCCAGACACGTTCAGTACAGTAATGTTACAGTACTTCCTACGATCTTACTGATAGACTGAAACTCAGTTTAGTTCACTGACCATTTTCCTTATCATTTTTTACATTCACCTGTGTTGACATTGCTGATTGTGAAAGATACACGAAAATAGTTAGTGAAATGGCTTATAGCAATCACATGTCGGCTAAATGCAGTTTATTGTAACATTATCAAGGACGAGCACAGAGCATTAGTTCAACGTCAAGCTGATAAAAGTAGGCTATTATTGTACCTGCAGTGGGAGTTTACATTAGTTTCCAGCATGTTGTGTGATGATTTCGCCGTTGCGTTGAAAGTCTCCGTGTGGCCGGTAATGACTGATCGCTCTTGAGATCGAGCACGCACACGAGCGCTCTTGATGCTTTCTGAAACATCACCACTAGAGGCTGCTAAAAATCGCATGAAGCACCTTTAAACTTGAGTAATGTTAAAAAACTCTACAGTAAAACTACTGAAACAAAAATTAATTCATTTAAAATGGGAAGTCAAATATAAAAGCAAATTCAAAGTATGATTAAATCCTATAATAGTTTATAAATCATCCTAAAATAGCCCTCACACACACTTTTCACGATTTATCACAATATTCATTTTTTTTTTTTTTTTGGTCAAATCAACTTTGATAATTTGTGGTTCAGATAACATCATATTTTTTATGTTGTTGTTTAAGTTTATGTTGTTTAAATCAATCTCTTTCATTGTATTAACTCATATATTTTTAATTTCAATGAACTTACAATTTCAAGAGAACTAGTTATACTTTAATTTAAACCAACAATATTTTTTTTACAGTGTCCACAAACACGAAAAAGAAGAGAAAGCCGACTCAAGAACAGTGCGCGTGCGTGTGTGTGTGTGTGAATCTCGGTCTCATAAGAGTCTACAGCACTTTATGAGCTCTTCAAAAGACTTCAGATACAACAGCAAAGCATCCAAAGGAAGATATAAAGGGAATTAGATTCAGTCAGTTGTGAAGTTTTGAGCTGTGCTTGAGTTGCTCAGTTTAGAGGCGTAGAAATCGCTCTAGAGCTGCAGAACGCGCGCGCGTGTGTGTGTGCGTGTGTGTCCGTCCACCCGGATCGGATCGATGGACTCTGTGAGCGCGGGACAGTCGTGAGTCGGAGCCGTCCTCCATCACTGTCTGTCAGCGGAGAGAATGAGCTGTCTGAGACCCGATCGATGCTGACACAACACACAACACACACTCACACACACACACAAGCCCTTCCTCTGTCAGAATCACACACTGATACATTACACACACAAACACACTGACACGCCAAACGCCCAAATGAAAAATGATGTTTGGATGGACAGAGACAATCTGAAGAGTCTCTTTGAAATAAAAGTTCAATACAATTGAAAACGTCCTCTCCATTTCACAAATATCCAACATCATGACTGACAGGAGCTCATTAACATAGCCCCGCCCACATCTACATATTCAGGAGTTGCTATCTCTTTAATTTCTATGGTTTCAGCAGCCAATAGACTGACCTTCCAGAAGTGTCATGTGATGTGGTCATCTGTGGGCGTGTCCCGTCAGCGGATCAGAGCGAGAGACTGCAGATTTGATATCAGCATCTATAAGAAGGTAAGCACAATTGTGGGTTTTTTGGATTTATTTTGTTATATACAACAGTATTGTGTTCCCTGCCTTCAGACAGAGACCGGCCGCACGAGAGACCTGCACAGTGCAGAAGTCCGAGAGATTTATATGTGCACACACACACACACACATACACAGTTTAGGAAAGTTCATGATGAAACTCTAAATAAAGTGCGGCCGTGAGGAGGATTGGAGCGAACTGACCATAGCCTCATTAGTACAGACAAAGACGTCTCTAACTCCAGCTTAGTGTGTGATCTCAGAGTAAACCCCTTCAGGTGTGTGTGTGTGTGTGTGTGAGATCTCAGAGTAAACCCCTTCAGGTGTGTGTGTGAGATCTCAGAGTAAACCCCTTCAGGTGTGTGTGTGTGTGTGTGTGAGATCTCAGAGTAAACCCCTTCAGGTGTGTGTGTGTGTGTGTGTGTGAGATCTCAGAGTAAACCCCTTCTGATCCAGACCTGATCCTGATCTCCTGTGGGGTTTACTCTGAGATAACAGCCGGCTGGATGTACATTATCCCTTACATTACTTTCATTTGCGTCTGTTTCTAACAAAAAGCACTGCATGACATCAGAAGACGAGTAATATAGAGTCACATGACCAACTCTTCATCGCGGCGTTCATGAACTGAAAGAGTAAATGATGATGATGAGATCATTTCGATTCCTGGCTGAACGATTGGTCGAATGCATGTAATAAACACATAACTGAACGATAAGTATCTACTCCTGACAGATCTGGCGAAGGTCTTCGGCTCTGAGTCTGTGGAGTCGAGCGGTGTGTGTGTGTGTGTGTGCGCTGGGTTTGGTGGCGAGCCAGAGACGCTCGGCTCATCACCGTCGGGCGACTCATGGCGGCTCAGCGGCGCTCTCTCTCTCCAGACTCGTTCACAGCTTGTTTCTGCTGTTCTCTCCAGCCGGTCAGAAAGCGAGTGTTTAACCCTGACGCAGGAGAGGATGACCCCTGACCCCCCCGCCGCAGCGCTGGCACACACACACTCACACACACACTCGGCCCGGCTGTCGCTAACAGGTGTCGCCGGCTCAGAGTTCCCTCGGCACCAGCAGTCCTGCACTATAGTTCCTGCTGCTGTAGATGAGTTACACACATGGATCCGATCCCAGACTCACACACACGCCTGAATCCTGCCAAACAGTGTGTGTGTGTGTGTGTGAATGGAACATTAAAGGAATGATCTGGATTCAATATTTCTAATACAAAACGTAATCTAAAGTGACACAAGCAGCCCTGATATCGAAAAGCATTTCTTTTTTATGCACTGGTCAGTTTGGAGATTTGGGTTTATTTTGCTTCCATAACTTGTTTTCTTTCAGACTAGTCTCGGGTTACGACTGTAACATCTCAGATTATGACTGTAAAGTTTCAAAGTTACGACTGTATCGTCTAGAGTTAAGACTGTAAAGTCTCAGATTACGACTGTATCATCTCGGGTTACGACTGTATCATCTCGGGTTACGACTGATGCGTCTCAGAGTTACGACTGTATCATCTCGGGTTACGACTGTATCGTCTCGGAGTTACGACTGTATCATCTCGGGTTACGACTGATGCGTCTCAGAGTTACGACTGTATCATCTCGGGTTACGACTGTATCGTCTAGAGTTAAGACTGTAAAGTCTCAGATTATGACTGATGCGTCTCAGAGTTACGACTGTATCGTCTAGAGTTAAGAGTTTATAGTACAGCTCAATATATATTTATACATATGTATAATGGCATCATCGACACATCGCAAGTTCCCTTCCCTTGGGGCGGCAGTGGTTTAGTGGTTCATGTGGGTTGTCTACGAACCGAAAGGTTGGTGGTTCAATCCTCGGTTCCACCTGACCAAGTGTCGAGGTGTCCATGAGCAAGACACCTAACCCCAGCTGCTCCCGACGAGCTGGATGGCGCCTTGCATGGCTGACACCGCCGTCGGTGTATGAATGGGTGAATGTGATGCAAATGTAAAGCGCTTTGGTGGCCATAAGGTCTATGAAGGCGCTATATAAATGCAGTCCATTTACCACTTTTTACCATTTACCCTTTAAACGCATACTTCCCCATTATTGCAAGTTTTCTGAAATGTTGATTAAGTATGCAAATGAGCCATTTTCTAATTAAATATCCCGAACAAGAATCTAAATATTGGATACAGTCAGGTTCAAAACTGTAAAGTTTGTAAAGCATCTCACTTCTTACAGAGATGTATTGGAATTAAGATCTAAACACTTAAATATAGATTTTGGATGTTTTCTTTCTACAGTCGTAACCCTAGACCAGTGTTTCCCAACCCTGTTCCTGGCGGCACACCAACACTGCGCGTATTCTTTGTCTCCCTTATCAAACACACCTGAATCAACTCATCAGCTCATAATCAGATGGGTTAATGAGCTGTTGAGTTGAATCAGGTGTGTTTGATTAGGGAGACAAAGAATACGCGCAGTGTTGGTGTGCCACCAGGAACAGGGTTGGGAAACACTGCCCTAGACGATACAGTCGTTACCCGAGACAATACAGTCATAATCTGAGATGTTACAGTCGTAACCCGAGACGAAACAGTCGTAATCTGAGACTTTACAGTCTTAACTCTAGATGATAGTTGTAATTTTGAGACTTTACAGTCATAATCTGAGACATTACAGTCGTAACCCGAGACAATACAGTCATAACCCGAGACTTTACAGTCATAACCCTAGACGATACAGTCGTAACCTTAGATGTTACACTCGTAACCCTAGATGATACAGTCGTAACCCGAGACGCTACAGTCATTACCCGAGACGCTACAGTCGTAACCCGAGACTTTACAGTCGCAACCCTAGACGATACAGTTGTTACCCGAGACGATACAGTCATAACCCGAGACTTTACAGTCATAACCCTAAACGATACAGTCATTACCCGAGACGATACAGTCGTAACCTGAGATGTTACACTCGTAACCCTAGATGATACAGTCATAACCCGAGACGCTACAGTCATTACCCGAGACGCTACAGTCGTAACCGGAGACGTTACAGTCACAACCCGCTACAATACATTCATATCCCGAAACGTTATGGTCGTAACCCGTGAGACGATACAGTCGTAACCTGAGACGATAAAGTCGTAACACGTGAGACATATCAGTCGTAACCCGAGACGTTACAGTCGTAACCCGAGGCAATACAGTCGTAACCCGTGAGATGTTACAGACGTAACCTGTGAGATGTTACAGTCGTAACCCGCAAGACGTCACAGTCGTAACCCGAGACGTTACAGTCGTAATCCCAGACGATATCTATTAGAGCATTTTCCTCTCTTCACCAGTGGCTTCTTTTTTGAAATGTAACCTAATGTCAGGTTTATTCACAGGGAATGATGGGAAAAGGGGAAATGCATCAGCAGGTTCAGACGCAGAGCTCATGCATGTTCAGACCAACATCAATGTACACACACACACACACACCATACGGCTTTCTTTCACCCGCTCACGGGCGATCGATCTGGAACAAGTGAAGAGATGCATGTACAGAACTCATAAACAAGACAAACTGCAGTCTGCTTTAAAACTCTTTCTCATCTAGAGAGGTTTAAGCCTCAGGGTTCAGATTGTCTCAGTTTGCAAAAGATTTTGTTTATGCTCTTTCTCTTGATCCCCATTATAATATACCTGTAGTCAAGTCACCTTTATTTTTACAACACAGAGTTTCACCGCAGCTTTACAGAGATAACAGGGAAATAATACAACAAAGTTTGTTTCTAGAAAAACAGTATATACAGTATATAGACACATGTACAAACTAACTAATTTTAAAACGTTTGTGGTCTTTCAAATAATGCTGTTCTTTATTTCTTTATACTTTATATTCATCAAAGAATCCTGAAAAATAAAAATAAAAACTTTCATCATTAAATCCATTCCTAAACGAGCGCCCCTGTTCTCGCTGACTCTGCGGTTCCTCTGGGAGTTCCTCAGGATGTGAATCGCTCAGCAACACTGTGGAGGATCTCAGACGGTTATGAGCTCCACTTCATGTTCACTTATCAAACGCCCCTAAAATTTCCTTTTCTATTTTGTCAGCAACCAAACGAAACGTGAGGAAATGTGTTTGCCGTCCACAAACCCCTCTCTCACTCCAGCCGAATCCCCTGTTCCTCCTACACAGCTCAGATCAATTTGTCTTCAAGACACAAATCCATATTTTTTTCATCCCAGGTATCACACACACACACACACGCTGATTCAGCTTTACACATGCTGACCTCAGAGCTCACACCTCTGCTTCAGTCGCTCTTTCATCATCCCGGAGTAAAAGTGTAAAGGTTCAGTGTGTGTGTGTGTGTGTGTGTTGGTCCGTTTCTCTTCCCTGAGCCCGGCTCTCAGCGCTGGGAGAGACGCTTCCCTCGAGCTCTTAGCGGATCAATACTACACAGGACTTAAATTAGACCTCCAGTCAGACAAATCCACCTCGCCTGCCATCAGTCCAGCACACAATCCCCTGAAAATATACTTTTTTTCCACTAAGTTAAGCAATGAGTGCAGGAAATGAGAAGGAAAAGAGCAGCTGTCTTTACGGTTTCTAATCTTTTCTCATCAAAGACACACACACACACACACACTTGTCCTAAATGCACACTTAAGTGTCCATGAAGAATATAACACAACAAACAAACCAGAAGCAAATGAAAAAAAAAAAAGTTAATTTATATTTTTATATATTTTTATAATTTATATTTTTATATATTTTATATTGTTGACACACACACAACATGACATCATGACTTTTGCGTAAACATACACGCCACTTTCGAGCCAAGTGGCGTGTTATCTCTACGCATTTTGAGCTATCTGCGTGTATGTCTACGCCATTAACGTTCGCGTCATTCCGCGTGTCCGTACACGCCGTCAAATGTCCAGTCATAAATGCCATTAACCCCAGTGACGGTTAAGTTTAGGGACGGGGTTGAGGTAAGTCATATATTTATATAA